TAACAGCTAAATTAAAAGTGACTTTGGGGGCGCCTGCGTGGCCTATTCGGTTAAGCACTGACTTCAGCTCAGCTCATGATCTCACGGTTCGTGGGTTCGAGCCCCGCATCGGGCTCTCTGCTGACAGCTGGTGGCTAAAGCCTGCTTCGGATTCTGCGTCTCCCTCTCTCTCCACCCTTTCCCGGCTTGTGCTCTCTCTCTCTCCCTCTCCCCCTCTCTCAAAAATAATTAAAAACATTAAAAAATTTTTTAAAGTGACTTTGGGCAATAAACATCTGTAAAACAGTCATCAGACTCTGGTTCTCATATTACATGGAAGAGACACTGGTGGTCAAGAAAACAACTTTATAAACAGTGTCATCAATCTCTAACGGTTAAGAACAACGTAGGGCACTCAGTGGGTCTCAGCAACTGTCTGTTAGAGGTTCACACCGTTTCAGTTTTACAATCTGGACTTAAATAGTTCCACTCAAAGTGAGTGTTTGGCGTAGGTAAGTTGTGCCTCTTCTAAGTTAACTTAGAATAAGAATCCTTTTGGACCATCGCTTGACCAAAAATAAATTTAAATGAAGCCATCATTCAATGTGTATGAGACTGTAGGTCCCTCCAGCGACTGCAAGGCCATCCTGTGGACTACAGCTCTGCGACTCTATTGACAATGGCAATGAACATGTTCATAACAATAATAAGGGCTTGTTTTAATAGAACGTTCCACGCATTAAACACATTAATGACCCATGAAATAACTGTTTTATCTGTAACACATTAGGCAACGTTGCTAAAACAATGCATTAATTGAAAGTCTGCTATTTCTCGAAATGTAAGGTTTTTTAAAGTATACAAATGGCATGAACGTCATTTCGTAAAAACAAAAATAATTCAACTTCGAAATGAGAGCCATAACGAACGATGGCGTGCAAAAGCAAAACTTTGCAAATAAGCCTGGTAATTTCGGATGTGTTGTTTTTTGATACATTCCCATTTCTCTGGTCAAAAATGAGATCTGTCTAGAGTGTGACCTCAGAGTCTTATGAATATTTTAAAAGCTTTAATTTTCTCCTCGGCATGCGTTTCTTCCGTAGGGCTTTCCTCTCTTTCTTTTTCCTTACCAGGTATGGAGACTGTCATGCTCAAATATACCTCCCTTTCTTCTATCCTTTTTAGTTCCATCACACTATGTTCGATACTACCAGAGCGAGCAGAGTAGCATTTTCTATAAATAGGTAGTATCACAATTAAATCCAAAGCAGTATCAAACAGAAAATGTCAGTCCTCTAAACATGAAATATAATGTATGAAGAAAAAGTATATGAATTATCAGTGTGTTTTATAAATTCTCTTTTGGGGGGCATACAAACTATCAGACTAGAGACAATTATTTTACTGTCTGTTTCTTGGATATCAAAGAGAATTTTGAAATTCATCAAAGCTAACCTTCTGTTATGTACAACAGGCTAAGCTGAAAAGAATGTTAACAAGTTCAATTTTCATTCAATCAGCACTACTGCTCTCTGAAATGTTTCATTGCAGGAAAGAAATAAAAATAATCTATATGGTAATTATGAGGATGAATCCCCCAGTAACTTTCAGCTACATGAAAGGTCAGTTCTATTCAAGATATTTTATCAGTCCCTTGCACATACTCCTGTCCTGTCATTTTAAATCTGAACAGCATTTTATTTTCCCATTTACAGCTACCTGCAGAATTAAGTACTTAAGCCAAATAAGAAAAAAAAAAAAAAGAAGAAGAAATGTTGAACGCTGGCAAAGGCTATAATAGCACAGAGATAAATCGTTCAGCTGCTCTCTCTCAAGCCTCTGGGGCTGCAGATTTTTCTTCTCCTAGTGCACTGTGGGTATTCAAAACTTGTTCAACATGATTTCATTTCATTTCAGGCACTGCCTGAGAAAACTAAATTACAGAATCAATCATACAGAAGGTCAGAGTGAGACTTCATTACAAGTATTGCATGCTTGCATGAATATCTTTCATTTATGACTGACCCAATATGTCACAATAGCTGTCGAGTAAAAATAATCCACTTTCTGAAATTGATGTACTACTGATGTCAATGCTACTCAGCAGGCTGGGCAGATTATAGAGAGGTGTTAAAAAAAAAAAAAAAAAAAAACACAACCCTTTGGAGCGCAGGTTGTAGACTTTTTTTGAATCGCAATCTTTTGTAGATTAAAATAATTTCCAGATGATCATCTGAACTGACAATAACGCTTAGAGGTAAAGATTTTTTAACCGAAATAATGCTGTTGGTTTTGACTTGCCAACCACATCCTGTTGGAAAGTAGACACATCCGCCAAAAGCAAATCAAGGTTGTGCTTTGAACTCACAAATGCGCCGACGTTCAATTTTTCAACTATTTGCTTCCTACTACGAGGGCATTATTTGCATATTTGGAAATGTGAATGCTAATCATCGGACTCCTTTTAATCCCTCCTTTTTGTTCATGCTTTCTGTTTTTTAAGTATAATGGCATAAATTTAAGGAAGATAAACACGTCGTGCTTGTTGCCAACAAAAATGCGGCTAATCAGTAACGTGACAAAACTGTCAGTCTTTTCTAAAGGAAAAGCAATGAAGCTCTGAAGAAAAGCTGGTTCGATACAACATAAACAAGCTGGCTTTTCTTCTTCTATGAGTCTTAATTCACCACAGCAAACCTTAGCAGACAGCCATATTCATTTGGATAATAAAACTTCTTACTTGCATAAGGTGTGGAAGAACCGACGCACACTGAAAAGCCGAATGCGTGATGTATAAACTATTATTTATTATTTTGCTGGTGACCTTCCAAAGGGAAATCTCTGAGGAGCTGCTGTGGAGTATTATGATGTAGACAGCCAACTCGGTACCCGGAGGGAGATATAGAAGAACCTTGACATAGCCTATTTTTAACCATGCCTCTGGCGATTCTGAATTCAAGTTTATAGGTGAACATGTCAGGTAGTACATAGAACAAAGGCAACGACACATTGTATTCATCATAATTCTGTCCAAGTACATTTTATTTTTTCCAACATTTGTGATTTAAGATCCCATGACATTTCTTCAAGGTGAAATTCTACTAGAATTTTCAACAAGATTAGTGTGTTTCGAGCCAAAATAAATATCACTCAGGTTCAGCAAAACTTCAGAAAGGCACCAGTAAATGTGATGAGGTCCATGTAAATACCATGACAACAGCCTGCACTTAGCTAAAGTACTTATACTTTTAAAAATCAATGAAATAATTCAACTGCTTTAGTGATTAGCAATACATTACAAAAGAAGCATTAAAAATTGAGTCCTCTCTCCCAAGGCCAGTCCGTGAAAGCATTGTTCTTTAAGTGTATGTGAATATCATAATTATTTTATGATCCCATCTTTAGTTCTTTCCAATATAGTAAATTCAATTGACCATGAAATGAAATTTCATAGTCAAAATGCCTCCTTTACACTTTTTTATAGCAGCAATAACAGTTTTATAGCTTTAAGGCAAGGTAATTCATCAGATGTTTAATTTAAAGGCAGATTCTTATATTATTAATAAATATTTACCAATTTAATAAAATACACATTTTAGCATGCATTATATGGCCTTTTAACTATTTCTGCAACTTAAATCGGCCTCGCTGAGCGTCTGTGAATAATGGTGAGCCCTGCTAAACTCCCTTGGTGACTAAACACCCTTTTTATTTTTATGGCTTTCCAGAAACAGCACGGCAAGCCTGGCTGTAGAGGAACAGAGGACAGAACCCTCCATTTCCAGTGTCAAAGGGACAAAAAAAAAAAAAAAAAAAAAGTAAGGAAGTCCACAGGAAACAATTATTTGTGATGGCGAGGCACATTTATGAATACTTAATGACCACTTCCCGACTGTCCCCTGCATTCTTTTCTGACAAAAAAGGAAACCTAAACACCCCGATGTTCAGCTCCAACACAAGAGATCACAAGCAAAAGAAAATGATGCCGCGTCAATCCTATTTGGGAAAGTAATCTTATATTTCAGAGAGCACGCTGAATCTTTACACCGCTAATCCAGTACATACTGTTGCTATCTGGGGAATTCACAACGAAACCAAAAAACATCACTGGCATGGTCCTAATGTGCAGAGAAATATGTAAACAAGCAGTAGGATTTGCTTTTTGTTATACCAACACATCTGTTTCATTTTATCAGGGCTAAAAAAAAAAAAGTCCTCTAAACTATTAATCTTGTTTTAAAATGTCTGCTTAGTACCTCACCTAGATCAACACAAATGTATTATAAACTATGATGGGAATACAAAAACAAAAATGAAAACAAAAACAAAAAAAATCAAAAAAACCCAACAATCCCAGCAGAATAGTTTAAAATACTTAAGCAGATTTACTCCGGTGATTGCTGACAATAATTGCACACTAAGAAAAATGGAATCGAAATGATTACATTAGTGATCTTGCCTCTCTGGAGTGCTTTCTTCCATGTTTATGACAATAAATAACACAATTAGGTATATTTCACACACTAACCCACTCTCTATTTTCCTCTGCTGGGTATAAGCAATTATTCGCCTTCCCTTTCTCTGTATCACAGTCTGAGATTTCATTTGACATACGGGCAGAACATGTACCACCATAAACATCATGTCATAATCCAACAAAGGCATAGAAGGGCCTCCGTTTCTAACATCTCTCCTGGGCAAACTTTTAACTCAAGGACATCTCTGTGGTCAACCACAGCCAAGGGGAGATCGGCTAATTCCAAACCAATGAATCAGACTCATTGAAAACCGTTTCAAATCAGGAAGGCTCTTGCTGGGTCTCGTCTTCCTTTAGGTGATCATCAACCAACCCATAACTCTCTGGTCCCTGCACTAAAATGGCATTAGGAAGAACAAACCTCACGTCCATCAGTAGATGGGCAGAAGAAGCACGTTTCAGAACATAGAGTCTCGGTCTTTACCGTGAGAAGTGCAAACGACTGAAACAAAAAACACTTTCAAGCAATAAATGTAGTGCCTACCATGTGCAACCCGCTGCTATGAAGCACGCCATCTTGTTCCGTGAGATTTCTTGAGATGGTGATGGAAGGAAGATCCAGGCTTTGAGGGGGAAACTGGGGGGTGAATTCACTTCCCTGGGAAGGCAACGGATCGCTGAGGCCTTGAAAGGGCAGAAGAACATCGGGCATGCCCAGGGCAGGGTCGGACTCCGGAGGAGGCGTGATAGGTGGGATTTCAAACTCCTCATCCCCGAGGCTTGGCGTATGGAACGTCTGCTAAAAGGAAACAAAACAGAGACGTCTTCACGTTCTGTTCCAGTCTCTTATTTCTCTCGGAGGGGAAAAAGGAAGGTTTTGCATGAAAACACTGCATAGCTAGGCCAAACATTTATTTCTCAAATGAAAACATCTTAAACACAGATTTCCATATATAAAGTTTTGCTGATCATTCTGATTAAAGATTTAAGTCTCATTATCATATGGTTTTAATGGAGTATCAGTATTAACAGTTTTTTAATGCGTACTTAATTAGCAACATCTGTCTTCGTTCTTACTTGGCGCACCAGCGACATTAGATTTGGCTATATAACAAATTGCCACTTTATTGATATGTTAGCGAAGCGGCTCAAACCGCTTACATTATCCACGTGCTGCATAAAGTGCTGACGATTTTGTGGTGCGCACACACAACATTAATCCAGGAGTGAACAGTACACATGTTTACTTTCTGCCGCAACATATCAAACGCCTAATATTTTGCCGTTTTACTTTCCTTACTGGTATATTCCCAGGCGCAGAGAACGCTTCTATGGAAATTGTTAAGGTTCCTAATGTAAAATTTTATATAAGGCTTGTCAGAGCATATATTAAAAGGTCCTGGTGCTTTTATCTAAACTGTAAGGAGAGGGATTCTCTTTTACGATGACTTTAATACGTTTTTATCTGAACATTTCTAGGGGTCTTCAACTTCGAAAGATGATCTACAGAATGAGCACAGAGATACACTGATATACACGTAGGAAAGCTATTGCTGTTGCTCACTTACTTAAGCAAATGCTATCTCTCAAGACCTAAGTAAATAATGCACTACTTTTGTCAGTGCGACTTAGATCCTTAAAGATAGTGTTTTAAAATGAGGCCTTTTGATGTAAATTAGGGCTGCCATTGTCTACCAAACTAACTACCTTTCTTAAAATAGAACTCAGATTTCATGGGGGTGGCGTGGTCAAGGTCTAGGATACTCTTTTTGGTAGGGTGAAGGTGTTAGATATTCTTTTTTCCAGCTCAGAGGATCAAAGTTCTAGTTCATTATTCGTAGTATTTTTTGAAGAATTAACTGGTGCAAGATCGTTTGAATCTGCTGTAATTGGTTAAGAGAACTAATTAAGAACGGAAAACCATCATTCTTCAAACTATCGATGATGATATAGAACATAATAATCACTTCAGAAAAAATAAAAAAAGAAACTGAAGGAAAAAAAAAAAGGAAAAAAAAAATCTGTGCAAATAGAACCTGTCCATTGTTAACGGCATCTCGCCAGAAATAAAGAGGTCACATGTTATGGGAATCTATGGCGGACAAGGTGAACATCTTGAAGTTCTTGGCAGACTCAATATATGCAAAAACATTATAGTATAAAAACATACCTGAAACCTAGAATGAAGCATTAGGTTCTCTGACGTATTGATTCTAATACCGACGCCCCAAAGACGTCAATTTCTTACCGTGGTACCCCAAGCGCTCAAACACAAAGGGACGGGTTGGCCACAAACGTGGTTGGCTAATGAATGTAACCCTATGGCTGCATTTGCCGTTATTTTGGCACTAATGTGGTCTAGTAACAGATGCAACTGTAATTTGTGACTCATTTGCTACCCCATTACTGCTTAATGAAATCTAACATATCACATTAACAATACGGATAAACACTCATTCTTGATATGTGGCATTTTGCTGTTTTCATTACCACTGTAATTAACACTTGAAATATTATTTCAATAAATATTTAAAGTACTTTAAAAATGGTCAGGGTAATCAGGACACAGACAGAAAACATAAAGCAAATGTGTGAATTTCCAACTCCGAATCTTCCAGTCCCTGTGGCGTTATCTACGGGGCAATATCTATGGGAAGGGAATTGGTTTCAGGCACGATTTCGACTTCACAGCATTCAAACCTAAAGTCTTCCTGAAGTAGTTTGCACTCATTAAAATGTTAAAAAACCAAATAAATTTACTTTTAACGCAATGACTGGGAAATTAGGCACACGCTGTAATGTGGTGCATTAACATTTACTTGGGCTTTATTTTTGTGTTCGAAAAAAGACGTACAGTGAAATCACTGCGAAAGATTAGCTCTTAAACTCTAATGTAAAGCATGTCTTATGCTAGGCGGTCAAAATTAAGGGGGCTTTCACTTTTATATTTTGTTCAGGAACATTGTCTTATGAATAATATGTCCCTACAGTGTAATTTTTTCAAAAACAAATTCGGGGCACCTGGGTGGCTCAGTCGGTTAAGCATCTGACTTCAGCTCAGGGCATGATCTCACAGTTTGTGGGTTCGGGCCCTGCATTGGGCTCTATGCTGACAGCCAGCTCAGAGCCTAGAGCCTGTCTTCGGATTCTATATCTCCCTCTCTCTCTGACCCTCCCCTGCTCACGCTGTCTCTCCTCTCTCTCAAAAATAAATAAAACATCTTTTAAAGAGTCAAAAACAAATTCCATTTTAAGTTAGAATTGAGTATATTGCTGGAGCATAACCTAATAAAATGACATTATAATAAATCATCAAGAAAATGCAATAAACTCCTTTTAAAAGAGAGATCAATATATATCTGTATGTATATGTATGTGTGTGTATATGTGCACATATATAGTTAAGCATTCCTTAGAGAAAAGAGTAACCCCAAACCCTGGATAAATCTGAGATTATAAAAATAACCACGCGCCGCACCAGTACCAACAAAAAAGACACTGGCTTTTGTGACTCTGCCGTCTGACTGATATCAGGTTAATCGTTTAGAGCCTCCGATGATTACTTTTTACAGATACTGACTTTTCAGTGTTTACCTTGAACATGGTAAAATAGCATGTACATGGTTAAATACCATCTGTACTGAAATGTTCAAAACATTTGTTCCTTTTGATAAAAATGCAAATCTGGAGAACTGTTGTATCAACATATAACAGCCAGCGTCTGACACGGTGAATTATCACAGCTGGAATTAAATTGTCTCCAAACAGCTGCTGGCAGTAGAGCTTTCATCAATGTTTGATTCAAATGTAGGGAAAAAATCCTACAGAATGACGCATCATGTTGTCCTTACAGATGGGGGTCTGTGTTCATTATCACAGACAACACGGCAGCGAGCGCCAGACAATATCCCTGGTGTAGGCGGTCTTTCTGGTTAGAGAGACGATGGCCATTGCGGAGATGATTAATCTATGAATATCCTTGATTCTCACTTCCCTGTTTTTCCTAATAATTTTGCCAACCGCATTTCTTTCATGCCACTTGCCTCCCTGTTCCAAGATCATTTACAAAGCCATGACGGTTTCCATCCTCTGGGGCCGAGCGAGTCCAGTTGCCTATATGTGAATGTATTTGGAAAATGAAGACTTTTTATTACGGGGACCGCAATAGGAAATGTTCCACTTGGACCAATTTCACCTGTTTGTTCTTGTTCTAGAATCTTAAGTCTCCCAGTTTGCCATGTGTTAGGAAACCATTTTCTTGATCTAATCAAGGGCAAGGTTTTTCTGGGAGGGCGGCCAATGAGCTCGGGCAGCAGCCCTAAGTCAGTGAGGAGGGAATGCAGTAAAACAGCAACAAGAAGATGTTTTGTTTTGTTTTTTTCTTTTCCATTTGTACCAGAAAACTGTAGACAAACCCAGAGCCATCCTCCAGTTTGCCCTGCTATGACCAAGCCCTAGAGCATGCCCTTTCATTCACTCAGTCTCTACATATTTACTGAACACCTACTATGTGCCAGGTACTGTAAAAGTCTATGGGGATCTAACAAGGAAACAAAACACTCACTTCACATCACTTCCACTGAAGACCAAAGAAACCATAATACTCTTCTCCCTCATCATTCCCCAAACCATGGCAACTTAATGAAATTATCCCCGGAGCTTTGTGGAGTGGAAATACTTTCTATTAAAAGTCCCTTCCACCCCCTAGTTTCCAAAATAACCACTTAGTTGCTTCGATGCCAATTTGGATAGATAGATTTTATGTGCTGTCTTACACATTTACTTTTGTTGGCATATACATTTCTTTTCATCGAGAGATGCGTGTGAATTACTAACGTTCGTAACAGCCTCCGGATAAGTGACAGACTTGTCAGGTCATTTTCTTTTCCAAAAGGTTTTTCTCCTCCGAAGTCGTTACCTTGCGCCACGTAAGAGAGATAAATTCGATACTTTGCTTTTTCCCTTCCAGCCTTTTAAATGATCTAAATAACACACGAAACATGAACGGACACATGAAGACAGATGCCTACCTCACTGGCTGCAAAGAAAGCACTGTTGGCCTCAGCCATGGTCATGTAGTTATTGTTCCCAAACTGAAAGAAAAGAGATTGTTTTACGTTAATATGCAGACAGACCAAGAATCCCGGCTGGTTTGCTGAAAACTCGGACGGGATTTGTACGGAATGCTGGGGTCATGAATTAAAAGGGTAGTTTCACTCGGACCGAATGTGAACTGTGACTGGTTTTGTGCGACATGGAGTCGGCTGCTTCCCTCGGAAAATAAAGCACAGAGCCGAGCTAACTTGATAATTCTGGAAAACGGGGTTGTTTCTCATCAAGACGAACAGCGAAGGGAGGCAACTGCGAACCTTTGCTCCCCCCACCCCGGTCACTAGTGGCACTGGCATTTGTGAGAGGGGAGAAGGAAAAGTTTCCAAGAAAATCACCTTGACACATTTTTTACAGCATGTTGAGATTTCATAGCTTACTTTTCAAGAACAGATGTCACAAGTGTGAGTAGGTTAAAATGTGAATTAAAGGGAATAGAATCCAATTCCCGGGCCTCGAATTCTATTTTCTAGTGAATGGGGTGTGGCATGGATATAAATAAATAATAAGACTAAAGGATATTTTTCAAATCTCCAAACAGAGTTGAAAACGGTATCTGTATCCATCAGAGCTGTTGAAAACAGTGATATTTAATCTCCCGATGTAACATTAAGTGCAAAGAGGTTTGAAAAATAAGCGGAATCCTATGAACACAGCAATTTTTACTTAATTCCCTAACACAATAGCCCATTCATACCATCGCAAATAAGACTGTATCAGCATTTCAGGCGTAAGCTCTTTACTGCTGGAGACCTGTTATCAAAATGTAAAACTCGGATTTTGCCAAGAACGTATTTTCAGGTTCAGATGGTATAAGGAGGCATGTTTTGTTGCTTTAAACATTCTGTTATCAGTCTGGCAATATGGAAAGGCTCTGTGAGCCTAATTATCTGGAGCTATATTATTTTCACAATTTTATGAAGTGGTAAAAGAACGCCCGTCTTTTTGTACTGTGTATTGTCTCTTCCTTTTAGTGCATCAAAATAACACACAGGCTTGGGATCCAAAGGGTGAAATGTAGACATCCATTCTCTCATATAAATAGAGCTACTTAATTATTTAAACTAAAAGGCGGGGCACGCCTGGGTGGCTCCATCGGTTATGCGTCCCGACTCCTGATCTCAGCTCAGGGCATGATCTCATGGTTTGGGAGTTCGAGCCCCGCGTCGGGCTCTGTGTTGACAGTGCAGAGCCCGCTTAGGATTCTGGGTTTCCTTCTCTCTGCTCCTCCCCTGCTCTCTCTCAGAATAAATAAACTTTAAAAATTTTTAGAAAAATAAAGTAAAAGGCATAACTTCCCCAAGGAGAGAGAGAGAGAGAGAAGAGAAATACAGAGAGATGCATGTAGAAAACAAATAGACACACATGGATATGGAAGATCCACAGAATCCTCTTCATAGTAAACCTGCCAACACTTACTTCCAGGGCGCTCTGGGCCCCTGGCTCTGAACTTGTTGGGTTCGTGCACAGACGCTGGACTGACACGCTACACTTTATCTATCATACCAGGATCCAAGCACTAAGCGGATTCACGCGGAAGGTTCGAATGGTTCCAGAGTGGGGCTGTGGTCTCCGGAAGCAAAATCCCACCCTGTAAAATGACTCCTAAAGACACACTCACACAATGGGCCCACAGATTGCTCTGGATAAACATCTTTCTAAGGATTTCTGAAAGATGTACCTGTTAGCAATCAAAGGAGACCTTTATCTAGTGTTTCGAAGGCATGGGGTACCAAACCCGTGTGGGGGCAGTTTCGCCAACATATACTTATGTCCCAACCCATCATGGTGCATACATCAAATAGGCGTCACCTGTAGGTCCAGCATACCTCAATAAAGTGCTTTTCAAATAGTTTTAAAGTTAAAAAATGGCCCATACCCCCCCCCCGCCCACATCCACAGACATATTCCCCCCACCTTTTCCTACAATATTAAACACGTGCAAGCCAAAGCATAGGTTTCTGGCTGGGAATTTCTGATGAATTAATGATCCTAGAATAACATCTCGGGCCTCCATGCTGACCAACCTTTCTGGATGTTCATGAGGACTTGGGTCCCGATGTGCATTCCAGGCTCCCCTCCTCCTATGCCTCCAGCAAGCGACCCGCAGCCCGCAACCCAGCTTTAACGTTATTTAAATGTACGTTTTGTTGGGGAATTAGAAATCCATTTAAGGAGAGCAGCTCATTATCAGAGAGTATTTTTTTTTAAGATTAAACTCACTTATTACCTAATAGCACCTAAAACCACAAAGAAAAATAAAATGGCTATTAAACTAAGGGCCTAAACAATTCAAAAAACAAATTAAGCTTCGAGTAAAATAAGAACTGGGTTAGAAATCCTCTTCTGAACAGTTAGGATGCGAATGTAATTACTGGAGAAACTACAGCTAATCAGCTGTGAATTGTATCCATTAATTAGTATTTGCCCTGGAGAAATGAGAAAAATCAGTAAGAATGCTGGCTCCGTGGTGTGCCCGTGAACCACGCGCCGGCCACGCTGCGTTTAGTCAAGCACGTGGCTCCACTGGTCCACGTAATTTGAAAAGCTCTCACCTGAAGTACTGAGCTGGAATTACAAAGCACTCCTTCCATATCTTCTGTATCTATAGCGGGCCTTAATTAATGGCTTTTCATTTGGAAACACTTGGCGATCGGGCGGGAACAGTTATATATCATCTCAAACGGAAGCCAATGGCTGCCGTCCCATTGGGGGTAAAATATCTCCCCTACAAAGCTGGCCTCACATACTGACTGGTGCAGGGAAGGGGCTTCCTCTAGCACAGGTGGCTGGGTCCCTGCTTGAGCATGGTAGGGTGGTTGGATAAAATAGAGGTTGTCCAGTTAAATGTGGCTTTCAAATAGACAACTTTAAAGGTATAAGTATGTCCCATGCACTACTTGGGATACACTTATACTTAAAAAAGAAAAAAGCATTCTCTGTTTATCTGTGATTCAACTATACCGGGCTATTGTGTATTTTTACTTGCTAAATTTGGCCACCCTACAGCATCGTTAAATTGATCACAATGACAGGGATGCCACTTTCCATTTGATTTACCTTATCTCGTAACGCTGGCTTAATTTAATTTGTTTTATTTTAAAATGTGACCTATGAATCCTGCTTTACTCGTTCTGTGTAAGAACAGATCTGATTCTGAGAGAAAAAGTGATCCTTTGGGGGCAGATCTCTAATATAATGACCTCCGAACAATTAGCTTTAACTGAATTGTGTACAATTAAATTTACTTTATGTTCTAAGAGACGGCGACATTGGTAAACACAATATATTACAAAAAAATCCCCAGGTCCACGAGGGAAAGGGCCTTCCCTGTGTTCCCCGCTGTCTCCCCCCAAACTAGCAACGATTCCCCCGCCACGTAATAAGCGCTCCAACACTTGCTGAAGACAGAGGGAAGGGGAGAAAGGTTGATCACACTTTTAACTTCATTGTCTCGTAATCACCCATCCTAACTGGGGCGATTGCATCACTTATTTTTTTATGATGATAACGAGAATGATAATGATAGCAATAATAGTAATTTCCCCGAGAGGCCTGCTACATACATTATTTTTTCATTTAACTCTCCCAAGCGGGACTAAATGTAATTTATTCTCCCAAAAACAAGTTAGGGGGAAAAAAATTAGTAGCCCTATTTTATAGATAAATAGTCTGAGGTTTCGAGGGCTCCATGCCCCTAAGCATACAGGTCAGCCCTGGAATCTGGCACCCCTCCTGATCACTTACATTTCAATAGGCACGGAACCTTGCATATTTCACTCAGTGATGAATTCAAGTTTAAAGCTCGATTTTTATCGTTTTATCATCTTACTCGAGGCTACGGTCTCCCTGGTGGTGTTTCCAGCTACCTCAGTCTAGCAGAATGCACCCCAAGAAAACAGGTGCAGAGTTGCAAAGCCCAAGGCTGCAGACCACTGTCCCTCTTTTATGAGTCACTGTGCGCTCTACACCAGGTGAAACGTTCTGAGAAGTCCTGCAGCGCAGTCATTCAGCAAACGTTCATTTATGTGCCTACTATGTGCAAGGCACTGTGCTAGGCTCTGGCAACAAAATGCTGAGAAACATGACAAAGCTCCAACCTGGACGGAGCTTACAGTTTTCTCTGAGCGGGGGACGGCAAGCCTCCTCCCTCCCCCCAAATTTTCCACGGGACACCTCTTTTGGTTTCCCTCACAACAGTCTGCAGGAACACCTTGGGAAACCTTGTTCCAAACTCTTTATTGACAATAGTCTTTTATTTTCCCTGAATACTTCTTACAAGAAGCTAATATCCTCATTTCGCCCCATGCTAAAGTTGACGCATTTTACGAATCGCCTAAATAAGAATTTCTAAATCACTTGTTCTGGGTCATCTTAATTTGGCCGACTTCCAAGCTTTCTAGGCGGTAGCTTTCCACTGATGTTCCTTGGAGAAGCCCCTAATACCACCACGTAAGGGCCTTTAACGTGATTTCAGGAGGCAACGCAGAATATTTCAAATAAACCAAAGGAACATCGGGTGAAACAGAGTTACCTACTGCGAAGAGCATATAAAGACATTAAGAAAGAAACCGGCCAATTCAACGGTTTCAAAGAGCTTACACGTTGGCGGAATGGTCATTTGCGAGGCAGGGGCATTTATGAAGTACACTGGTGATGATCGGTCCTTTCCACTTTGATCGGCTCTAATAGATGTGATCCCCAAAGATAGAATCCCCAAAGATATAATTATAAAGCAGAACTAAATTACTCTGCATGTCGAACTTCTGTACCTTCCTGATTTCACAAAAGAACATCTTCATTGTACCTGGAGGTAGATTTGCTTTTGCGGGCTTGGTGAATAATTATAGCTTCGGCAAATACAATTTATGAAGGGCATCAATTAAAAAGGGCCATTGCAGGCCTGCTGAAAGAAATTTATGAAAGACCATCATGTTCGTGGCCTGTCTCACCATGTGAGGTGCCGAAGTAAATTAACGGAGGT